GAAATGTGAAGAAATATCTCAAGCGGATATGTGTGTGTGTGTGTGTGTGTGTGTGTGTGTGTGTGTGTGTGTCTATAGATATGGGTGTGTGAGGAACAATCAGAGATTAACCATGCTATCTGATACATGCCTATACCTAAATAGCCACACACACCCTTGCATAATCAGCAGTTACTTGGAGAAGCTAAACTGGGTGGAGAAGCTGTTTCCCAAAAATCTTTAATTAACTGGGATCAATAACACACATTTTGTATCTTCCCAACTCTAACAACTACTTGCCTCTGGAGTCCCGGGAGCTCCATTATTGGACAGTTTTATACAGTTATTTGTCTGGGGTTTTCTGAGGATTTCTGTCTTGGGGGTGGTTGGACTATAAAACCTCCCAGATCTTTTCTAACTCCCTATTTCTGTGATTCGATGTCTGTAAGAGTCAGCATTTTGGGCAACTGAACCGCATATGTACTTTCCCTGCTCAGATGAACATAATTCTTCCCAGAAAGGGGGCACGTGCTCTTAATTACTGAATTTCTTAATTACCAATTTATGTACTTCTTTCCATAGCCGTAAACCAAAAGGCTTGTAAACATGTATTCTATCTGGTCCTTGGCAACGTGAGCTCTTAGATTATTAATATGCCCCGTAGCCATTTTAAATCCATCTTTAATTTTTAAAATTATTATGATTATTATTTTTGCAGTGGAATTCACAGTACTATTCCTGAAAGCTCTAAATTGCAGATCTGGACTCATAATAAATAAGTTATTTGGAAATATGTGCCAAAGTGATACATCCAGGGGTTACTGTTTCCCCAGGATTCTATCATATAAGGTGGTGCATAACATACCAAGTATTATTTTTCATGTTTTCTAAGGCAAGCATTAACAGTCCAACATAATTCTTCAGCCACAAGAGACGAGGTGGCATTGATTTTCTCTGCATTTTACAAACGTTAAATAACGTCAGTGTCATTGACGATGCACTTTCTTCAGCTCATCCCACCACTGGATCTTTGTGACGGTTGGTTTTCTTAAGATTGCTTTCAATCTTTTGTCCAACTAACCAAATCTCAGTCAATGGAAAACTATAAGGACTTTAAGAAGCCACTTCCATAAATAGATTTTTTGGGGTGTGTCACTTTTGAAGGTGAATAGTTAAGTACTTGAATTCATACACACAAGGACACACGCAACCCCACTGGATTCCATCCTCTATACATTCTTGGTCTCTTCCAATGTATGCCAACAACCCCTAGCACTCACCCTTGGAAAGTTTGACTATTTCTTGGAGACCTTCATGGATTCCATAAAAATCACCCATGAATTGGGTGCCTTAAAGGAAACAAAATGCACTGGTAGGGCTAGTGATTGACCATTTTAAAAAAGCTAAGTAAAAAAAAAAATGTATACAGGTAGAAATGTGATTGTTCTTATTCTCTGCTCAGGAAAACTCTCCTTTTGTTAAAAAAAAGAAATCTATCGTGGACATTGCTCAAAATGTAACATGGGATAAGGGTTGGAGTTTTCACATTGCTTCACATGCTAGTGTTAAGAAAGTGATTCCTTCTAAGCATTCATCTTTCTTCCAATGAATCTCCAGTGATAAACTTATAGACCATACAAATATTGTAAGGATGACTAACTTCCTTCACTCAACGTCCCAAACATCCACTCTATAGGTTTCCATGCCAAAATGGAAAAAAAGAGACATGAAAGTGATTCCCATCCTTCTAAGTATTCATCCTTCTTCCAAGGAACTTCCAAAGATATACCCGTGCGCCGTACCAATATTCTAAAGATGGCTAACTTCCTTTATGTAGTGTCCAAACATCCATGCAATAAAATTCCATGCCACGATGAAAATAAACCAACCGGAACGGGAAAGGAAGCAAGCAATGACATAAAATGCAGAAAGTTTCCATCAAGGTCTATGAAATATATAAATATTTAGATTTATATATCTTCTGAAATGTCTGGTAGGGTGATAGAGCAACACTTAATTCAAAGTTGCGCTGTAGGCTTTTCACCCAGAATCTTACACAGGGAAATGAACTTGAACACCTCTCAGTCCTGAAGGCCTCTTGATTCAACGCTATTGATTAAGCCTTGCAAGAGATGAAGCTGTTTCACCCTCTCCTTTGTTCTCCTGGATGTATCAAAGGCTCCTATAAACGATTGTAGCCTGTTTATCTTCTGACGATCGGAGAGGAACAAAATCCAATGGCTGCTATTTGCAGTGATTATTTCTGGCTTTTCCATGCGATTGACGGAACACCTTAAAAAGAACTTGCTTCCATGGGTAATCTTTCATGTGTCTGTCATGGCGAGATCTTTATAGGCTTCCCATTCTTATCATATTGGTAAACAAGCATTTTGATACAGTGGGAGTTGGCTGGAGATATCCATGGGCTGCTAGTTATTGAAAAGTTATGGTTTGTATAGAACTGAACGGGTTGCTTCTGGCACCGGAAGAAGGCTTTAAGAGTTACAGCTGCCATTGTGCGGAATCGCTTGCTGATGAAACAGTACAGGAAGAAGTTGATGGCGGTGTTCAGCAACGCGAGCATGTTGGCCACATCGGAGACAATATGGACAGACCAGCTGTTGTTTATTGGTGAGACGTAAAGGTGGTAAAGGATCATGATAATCCTCGGTGCCCAGAGTATGGCGAAAATGGAGGTGATGGTAAACAAGATGGCGGTGGTTTTCCCAGTGGAATAGCCTCGCAATCGGAAATTGCACTTCTGTCGAAGCTTGTACACAATGATTGAGTTCAAGATGAAAAAGATGGAGCACGGGACTAAATAGATGGTGAAACAATGGATCCAGATGAGGACGTGGTGAACAAGAGTACTTGTGTAATCTTCTTTCCAAATATCGGGCCACCAGTAGTATGGGATGCTGGTTAGAAAGCAAATAATGTAAACGCTCACAATGACTTTGCGTGTACGAGCTGGATAAGAAACCATGTGATATTTGAGTGGATGGCAGACGGCTATATAGCGGTCAATTGTGAGAGGGACAGTAATCCAGATGGAGGTATGGATGGAAGAGAATTCCAAGACCTCAATAATTTTGTCCAGGATTTCTGGCATCTTCTTCTTCAAGATGAAGTCTTCCAATAAGAAGTCGACAAAGACAATGAAGAAAAGAACTAGCAAATCAGCTGCTGCGAGAGCTAAAAGGTAGTTATAGGAGGATTTTTGACGCCGAGCCACCAACTGCGACAAAATGATTACCGTCAAAATGTTAGCTGTAACGTGGGAGAGAAAGAGAGAGAGAGAGATTACGTTAACTTTAGAAGATGTTGGTTACCAATCCCTATCGGAATATCTGTGCTTGACTTCTCTTGACAAACAGGACTTGAAGCTTACACAACAGGCATTCAAGGATACCAAAGCTTTTGATAAGGAGATTTATTGTAGAAAAACAAATGATGCTCCAAAGGGATGGATTTCAGTGATCACTATGTCCACAGATGTCCACAGGCGCATCATGACATCCATCCTTTTTACACTTGCATCATGATGTTGCACACAAGAATGTAGGGGATGGAACTCGGGTGGTGACATCTCACACATATTTTGTAATTTTGATGAAATCATGACTAGTCGTGAGTGCCCCTGGCTACAACTCAGATGCAAGCCCTATTTATAGTGGAATCAAGGTTTAAGTTATAATCTCTTCCTCCCACCTGTATACTCTTTGGGGCAGGAAGAACAATGTTCAGCGGTCTCTTGTTCTGGTAATGGACTGGTCTGGTTTCAGGCTGTTTTCTTCTGATCTTGTGAGAACTAGTTCCCATAATGTAGCCCAACCATACTGGAGAACTGAAAAAGGCAGAAGGAAAGTGAAAATTCTTTTCTGGCTTGGTTATTTACCTGAGCAGGAGAAGAATTTGGAGGCTTGCAAATCTGGTAGATCTTTTTTGCACAACATTTGTTGTGGACCAAATTGAAGATATCATTGGAGTGAGGAGCCCTGAATTTTCAGCACTTTTTTCATTTGGGAGAAAGCATTAAAAAAATAAAAACAGAATAAACTTAATGCACCTATTTGGGTTCTTGAGAATCGTAAGAAAAAAATAATGAAAAAATAATAATCACATAACTGAAAATGGTGATTAATGCCCCCTTTCAGAAAAATACTCTTTCTGCATTTCACCAACATAAACATGGGGTTGGGGAGATGGATTTTTAAAAAAAATATAGTTTTATTGAAAGTTTTAAAAACAAGAGTAAAAAGTAATACAAACTAAAATAGAGTAAGAAGGAAAAAAAGAAAAAGGAAGAAATAAAAGAAAGCTAAAGTGCAAAAAAAAAAAGAAGAAAAATAGAAAAGAAAGAAAAACATATATAAAGAAGTCGCTTCTGATCTTCTTTACAGCATAATAAAATTGTAGATTTACCTCTTTCTCTAAAGTTACATTGTGACTCTATTTTTCTGTAATCTATCCTATCTAATTGTCAAAACCATCAATCGTAAGTTCATTTTTTTTTTTTATGCAGAAAGTCCATCAGGGTTTTTTTATCAGCAATAAACATAGATATTGTCTTTTCTTGGGGTTGGGGAGATGGATCTTGTGCATGAGCAATAGATTTTCCAACCATGGTTCAAATTTTGTGTCTTCTTTGTCATGGGCTGTCCAGTGCTTCCAGTACTTTTTCTCCCCTGAGTCTTTTTTGGATTTTTCAAATATCTTAATTTTAGGAATGGGACCTGAACTGAGATTTCCCCTGTGGAATTCATTACTGCAAGATGCGGTGACGGTTGCTAATTTGGACGGCTTTAAAAAGAGATTGGATAAATTCACAGAGGATAGATCTATCAAGGCTGATTAGTCTTGAAGATTCAGTGTTACTTTGGGGTTGGAAATACTATGCCTCCGAATACTAGTTGCGGGAGCAATGGTGGGAGAGGGGTATGCAACTAATTCCTACTTGCAAATATGTCAAAAGTTGACTACTATGATGCTGGAATAGGATGGACCTTGGTTTGATGTAGGGCTATTCTTATGTGATCATTCAGAGTAGTAACATTTACTCTGAAGTATCTAGATGACTACAGTTGAGGAGATGGCTCTTAGATGAAGGATGGGCTCCTTTAGAATATGGGTCAACATTGATTCTCTTTAACTGGACCCTGATTTAATTCTGCTCTGGCTGCAAGACATTCTGGCTGGATTTCTTGCAGACGTTTCTCAGCAGTTTCCACACCACCAACCCATTTAATTAGTTCACAAAGTACAGAGGTTTGGTTTACCGACGGGGTGAGTTGCCAAGTATTGAAATTTCATATGCATTCAGTAATTACTCTTTCTGCAGACCTAATGCACCACGTTTAATGTTAAACTTCTGATCGTGCTTTTTTCTTTTCCACGGCCAATCAAGAATAATGACATGGATTCCTCTAGCTAAGAACTGAAGAGAAAGGTGGGAGCAAAATACATGATGCAAATGATTCTCTTGGATGCATACTGTAGCTAAAAGTACAAGTGCATATTATTTGCCACTCAACTGCCAAATATTTATGGCCACCCTCTTAGTGCATCCTGCGGAAACTTGATTTCCCAGAGAAAAAAGAAACTTAAACAGTGACAGCATGGGAGTGGGGAAGATGCTACTGACGTTCTGCTTTGCCAACTTTTTTTTTTTTTTAAGAGAATTGCATCTTCAAACTCTCAAGTTAATTCCTGCTTTACTAAATGCTGAAGGGGAAGATGGAAAGGCTCACTACCCAGCCACCTGTATTTTGAGATCAGGTGGTCTTCATTCCCAATGCTTCCTTTGTTCAAAGCTGACTAGGGAATTGATGGGTGAAGCTTTAGAGTGGTGATGTCTCCATGAGGGGATAACATCCCTGAAAAGATTGCATGGTTGCCAAGTTTACAATTCATAGTTAAATGAGAACGACTCCTTTGAGTCAAGCTTAAGTCCTTGAGACTATATGAACAGATCCATAAAGTTTTCTCAACAATAATATCATTGTCTTCCACTGGGAAGTAGGTTGGACCTCCCATTCTAGCTTTCAACTCTTGATATTCATATATGTCTCCCGTCAAACTACTAAAGAGGTCTGACCTTGTAACATTTTTTGAGATCTACCATGGTCACCTAGGTGCCACTATTAAAAGTACAATTCATAGTTCCCAAGTGCAAATCCATGTATGGATCAAGAACTGCACTAAGTAGATCGTAGGACGGGAGGGGGCACCATTTCCCATTCAAAGGCTGCACTTGTTTAACTTTTTTCTTGGCCTTCTAGAAAATGGGGCCATTAGAGAGCATGAAATCATCAGAGGGTGCAAGCCAAACACAATCAGCCATTTATTAATTTATTTAGTGGCCCAGAGGAGGCTTAAAGTGGAAAACAAATATCTTAGGCCTCCTAGAATTTTGATACTGCAACATGGGCACACTCACCAGGTTGCCACGTGGACACTGGATGTGTCCCCTGGTTTATGAGTTAGCTACTGCAGGCTTACCCATTTGTCAAAGTAAGAGAGAGAAAGGATTGATTAAGACCCTGACCATGAATAAACTTCAGTGCAAAGTCCATCCTATTAGATCCATAGCTTTACTTTCGCCCAGACTTCCTCTGCTGGTTTTGTACAAGCATTTTCAGATAAATGTGCCCTTCACCTATCAGCCCTTCACCTATTCCAAAGGCCATTGCTTTCTAATTTTTTTTAAACATTAGGTCACCGGAAGCTTCTTTGAAAATTCTCAAGATTTTAGAGCTACCAAATCTGAGCTTGCAAAAATCTGGATGAGCACTAAGGGGCAGAAAAGGAGAGACAGAACAGTCTAATTCTTTGATACCATCTAGTGGTTGCCTGAGTTTGGCAGGCCAGATATGATAGCCTTACTCAAGGCAAACACCCAAAACAGACACGCCAACCTTTGTCCTGACTAGGTCTGATGGGAGATGGAGCTCAGCAAGATGTGGAGAACTGCACGTTTTCTGTTCCTGGTGTAGGTAACCCTAGGCTAGCTGAACAAAAAGTTTGTCCTGCTGCCAGGGAGCTTCCTAGATATTAATGGAGCAAGATCCGTAGGCAGACACAGCTCTCTGCCTTGTTCTCCGAAGAAGCTATTGATTTTTCATGATCCATGATGAGGCTGCAACTTCTACCAAACAAGGCAACCCAGCAGCCTTCTCACCCATAGGTTTCCAGGAGGGTTGGCTCCTGCTGGAGGCTAACATTGACGTGACTTTCTGGAAGTGCTGCAAATTTGAAATGTGTGTTGGCAGTTTTGTTCTTTCTCTAGTTGCCACGTAGGCCTTATGACACAGGTGGAAAATAGTGAGATGGGAATAAAGCTAATGAATGCAGGGGGTTCAGATGGAGATGTTGCTACTCCTTCCCCCAAAGACCCTAAATGAACATCTTCTCCTTGATGGAAAGATGAAAGGGAGTCAATAGATTTTGCATTGAGGTGTTTGCAAATGTAAACCATGCACTTGGCTCAGTGCTTAAAACACAGTTCTTCCTTCAACTTCACCCTAAAGGAGGCATACGAAACTGAAGGGCAGTTCTGCAGGGGATTGGCAAGGAAACCTGACTCTGCTTACCTCTTCCATATTGCCCAAAATGTAGGGTAGCTTGAGCAATGTGGGGGAGCAAGGTGGCTTCCTACTGTCAACAAGAGAAGAAAGCCCTAAGCAGACCCAGGACAGAACAATGAGTGATCCCACATTAACACTGGAGTATTATTCCTTGGTGTTCATAGAACTTTCCTTCTCTGATATAGTAATTTGTTTTGGTTCCTGTTTTTTTAATCGTTTTAATCTTTTAATATCGTGTACATTACCTTTGGCAATTGAGGTGGCTTATACATTGAACAAATGTGTAAGCCTATGGGATGGCCAGCATAGCCACGAGTCTAAATCTTCTCCTCTGTTAGCCAAATGTATGTAAGCCCACTGAACCACTGTCTCTTCCAATGGTATTTCTCTGTGCATCAGTTCATCTGCACTGGTTCCGGGGCGGTTTGCACCATCGTGTGCAGATATGTATCCTACAGAGTTCAATCAGCCCATTAGATACATTCAAGTTCCCCTTCTCTTCTACTTCAAGATAAGGATACGGTGTATAGTAAAGCTCAAGATACATTCACACTCATATCAAGCTCAACAGCTATACACTTCTCCTGGCAGGATTACAGAAATAGATTTCCATTGCCACTTTCTAGGATTTTTGTTTTTAGTACTCAGCCTAGCCAACCACTTAAGATTCCCAAGTGATCCCCC